AAAAGAGAATGTGAAGATTCTGCATTAGATCAAGTTTAAATTACTGACGAAATATAGCAAAGTTATTCCGAGATATATTACAATTGGCTAACCTGATTAGATGCCTGACCATGAAAACGACTTGGCTTTACATTCAAGTCGATCATTTTGTCCTTCTTGCCATGCCCATCTGCACTCCCATCTGAAATCAAAATAGGAGACACCCTGTGATTTTGTTGATTGTCTTTAATCATTGGGTTTGGTGAGTGACTATGATCCTTCTTATTTTCACCGGTATCTAATGTCTTCCTGGCTAATTCCTCTGTAGACCCCGACTTGTCTCCTGGAAACTATATGAGAAAAACAGAGAAAAAATGACCTTATATATAACACATTGCACAGATTAAGAGTAACATGACTCATACAACGGAATACCAACCTCAACTTTCTGCCTCAACAGGAGATATCTACTGTGTGTTCATTTACCGCCAACGTGTACCATCATGTCACATTGCAGACAAAGAGAACTTCCATCAACTTCACAGTAAAAGAATGCTTCATGTGTGATGCAAAGAAAATTACTGATTGTTAGTTCACTTTGCAGGCCGTCTTTTGTAGAGACAAGATGACAAATTAACATAAAAGGAATCAGAAGAAGAAACTAATCAACTGAAGAACAAGACGGATTAAAGCTCCACTAACCAGGTGAATTTTCACATATGTCACAACGAGGAACCTCGTTGGGCTTAGCAATTCCAACCCTCACATGCCTACTAGCAAGCTTGTTACACATATGAACCTACCGAAAAAATTTGAATATGCTTAGAAGTGTCCACAAGAACAAAAACATCAGAAGTCTCTTAGTGACATTGTCAATATTAGCCGATTAAACCAAGATAAGAAGTTGATTGATCAGATGGCATTCAATAGATTTGACCTCTCATGACTCCCGATCAGAAATATGAGTGCTGAAGATATAATTTAAGAACCTTGAAGTGTATATATCCTCTCTAACAGCATAAACTTTTAAAATAAGTTGTATCTCATAATTCAACAGCTAAGAAGATCAAGATCATTTGAGAACTCCCGACATATACAGATATATAAATAACTTTTAAGGGCTAAGAAGAAAAGTCATAATCAACATAAAAGAAGATGAACTGATGAAACAAGAACCAAAGGGAAGAAGCAATGATTCCCAGAATTTACAATACACATGTCAATTTGTTTAACAGGTCAGCATGATTTTTGATCTTTATAAGAATAAAAAAAAGCCCTATGAGAGCAAGCCTTACAACAAGCAACATGATCTCTCTATTCTAAACTGATTTAAGACTGTCTGATGCTATCCAAAAACCAGACACACATAATCTTAGGCAATATTAGTCCTAATTAGCACCATCTTATACTTGTAGCTTATCATATAACTATGCTCAACACAAGTAATCTGCAACTCACTACACAAAAAGATGGTCATTTCTCTGTTCTTTCTTTAAAACTGAACACAATCAGGTAAACACAACAAACCCAACCACTCACTCAAATCACAAAAGCATATTTTAAAGAAATATAAATGGAAAATTTTCATATAAGTAGAGCATTAAATTTGAGAATAAAAATGAGACCTTTTCATCACAGGCACGGCAAAGGGCAGCCTCATCTGCAGCACAGAAAAGAATGGCTGCAGCACTTTCACAAACATCACAAAGTGTCCGCATAATTCATTTCTACCACAACTCACCCAATAATAAAACAATATAAAGCCTCATATTATTACCTAGATTCCTTCAACTACTCTTTTATCAAGAATTAAGTAGTCTATTTAGACAAATAACCCCCAAAGACTTGGAACTTTTAAGTCTGGAGAAAGTTGAATGGTACACTACTACACTAGTTTGACACAAAGCACAAAACAACTCACCAACCAACTCTTATATATATATATTGACAAACAATATTTTCCTCACAAACCCAAAGGTTTTGGCACGATCCTTCCCTTCTTAACCTGTGAATAAATAAATATTCTTGCTAATTTTTTTTTATTCCATTCAAACTTTAAAATTGGTGGAAAAAGTAGATGAGTTCAACATACTATATAACATACATTTAAAAAAAAATACTCTGGCCATTTAGTTGTGCTTGTTCACTGTTCTAAAAATTAGATTTTTAGTGACTATTGATCAATAAGTTTTACATATGTAAAAAGATAATTACTCTTTTTCTTTCAAAAAGAATGACCTTATTTCCTTTTTACTATGTTTCAAAAAGAACCCCTTATCTTTTTCGACAAACTTTAACTTTAACTTTTCACTTGACATGTTTAAGTCCATAAGATTAAATGACATTTTGATAAATTTGATACAACTTTAACTTAGAACCATAAAATTAAAAAAAATTCTTTTTTTCTTAAACTCCATTTCAAATCAAATTACGTCATTTTTTTTAAACAGAGAAATTATCATTTTCCTATATGAGCTATTATTTTTAAAGAAACTTAGGGAAAGTAAAAAAGTATTTTTGTGGATGTTGGTGAAGGTTGAACTAATTGATGGGAAGTTAGTACTAGGATAATTTTTCTTATTGGCTGGGGTTTTGAAAAATTAGACCACAAATAGCACCATGATTTTATTAAAGGAAAATATACACTCATATAAGAAAACTTAAAAAAAGAAAAATATATACTGGCATCAATACATCACAGCCACAAGATTAAAGAGTGTGGCCATGAAAATTCCTATTGGAGATATATGAACCACCAGTTACATATCTTAGACTTGGCCCATCAAATTTAATATTTTAGTGAGTACTGTTTTCTTTTTTGATCAAATTTAAATCTCGCTATAAAATTTATTAAAATAAAAATTTAAATTATGCATTTGTAAGACCCATTTAGAAATAGGCTTCTAACAAAACTTTTTTATATTTAATATTTAAACTCCAAATCTTTAATTAAGAATGAAACAATCTCAATCACTATAGTATTGTCTAACTTGTCTCTTTTTTTTTTTTTTTTTGAAGTTATGCTTCTTCATTTTCATCATTTTGGATTTTGTTTTTAATGTATAAGCCACATTGTGAGGTATCTGATTGTGCCACGTGGCCCTTTGTGTCTTCTCATTCTCAACAAACCGTAAGTGAATTTTGTTTTTGCATCCCAATGATTTGTCGATTGATCAAGTTTGGTCCCCTAATTTTTGTCTATTTTTTTCATGTGGCTCCTAGTACTGATCGCCAATTCATCAGTTACCTGTCGGTTAACAATTCGTTCGCACAGTATTATTTTTTTCTATACTATTGAACTTAAATATATATATTTTTTCCACAGATAAATATAATTTTAAGAAAAAGAAAACATATCAAACTAAGAAAAATCGTATAACCTATCCCAATTTTATCTCATCTTCGAAAACTAAAAAAAAGTAAGTTTTAGGCGGAGAAGATGACTATGAATATGATTTGGGGTTGGAGTCCCCTAGGTACGGATTTGTTTTTGTTAGAAAGTGTTTTATTTTTGATGTGAGATTTTTCGATGCAAATTTTAATTTAACCGTAATTTTAATGTGGCGTGGATACTGAATATGAGCGGAAAAAAAGTGTGAGAAAATATTTTTGATCGAATTTTTAGTGATCACAAAATTTCTACTCTTTTCTTTTCTTCTTCAAGTTAAATACGTATATCCATTTTCCAAGTATGAGTTTGAGTCATGAAAAAAAGAAAAAAATGGGAACTCCCAAAAAAGATTTCAATATATTGTTTTTTGTTCAACTATTAGAATTTTTATATTCAAACACTCACCTAATTTTATTGGTGATCGCTGATTATGTAAAAATAGAATTTCCAGTCTACTTTATTTTTAAAATTTATTAGCTTCATTCATAGGAATATTATAATAACATACTCAATATAATTTTACAAATAAAATATAAAAAGAGCTGAGTGCATAAAGCCTAAATTCTACCTTGTAAATATAGTAGAAAAGAAGTTAGACCGAAAACAATGAAAAAGAAATGTATAACTCTTAACTTGTGACGATCGAATAATTATGCCCTCCAATTTTGAATGTGTATAAGAAAATACTTAAATTGTACAAAATTAAATAAGTAAACATATGTATTCTACATTACAGAACCAATGTAGGACATCATATTGGACTCAAAATATATTTATTTGTTTACAAATTTAATTGTCTATTTATGCACACACCCAAAATTAAAAATTATAGTTATTAGTTGACACTGAATTAGGCGTATTATGCCCAAAAGAAATCCGTACTTATTTGAATATTTATTTGTAATTAGTTTCTCAAGTAATTTTTAATATTATTTTTTTCTTATTTTATTAATGTATATAATTAAACTCATTCTAGTTTCATCTATTATAGTTTGGATTGTTGTGAAGCAAGTTGAGTCATAAGGGTCTCATATATGTACATGCTTTAATAGGTCATCTTAAGTGGGCAACTAAAACATCATGAAAGAGGCAATAAGCTCACAATGTTACAAATATGTCGTTGTTGCCGTCGTGTCTGTTGTGAAATTAAACTTTCCTAATTTCTCAACTTTTTAAGATTGGTGTAAAGTGTAAACTATATAAACATGTAATCGCAGTTCTAATTTAGTTTACACTAATCACATGCATATTATAAGCAACAAATCCGTTTACTCAATCTAGATTATAATGTTTTTGTTATTAAACTGTTCATATACTCTGCCAATTTTCTTTTGTTAGGAAAAGTTTCCTCGAGCAAGTGAGTATGGTAAAGTTTGATTTTTCTACCAAAAAAATAATTAAAAAGCCCCAAAATGTAGCTAGCTTATTATAATTAGATCTCGATGAATCATCCTTTTTGTTGATGTCTTTATTAAAGAAGTGTCAATTACGAAATAAGTGGTTTATTATATGAATTAATAATCTTTACCTGTTGAGCTAACTTTTAAGATTGAATTAAACATAATATTCATTTCTTTTATCTTTCTTTTAAATGCCTATTATATTATTTTTTCCCATCTTGCGACAAACAAAGTAAATATACAAACTATATATAGTTTGAAAATAAAATTACATCAATTATTCAAGCTTTAACTTGTTTGAAAATAAGATTACATCAAGTGTCGAGACAAACTTAAGAGATATGAAAAGCCACTTAATAAAACAAATGATAAACAACTTCCAATCACACACACATTGCACACTAGTATTCATTCATTCATGTTTAGAAGGAAAAGTTGAGCATGTTCATGCTTAAGTTCTCCAGCATCTCATTCTCCATGAAACCACATCCATGATTTGTAGCAATCATTTTGTTATAATAGCTGTGGGGCTTGACTGAGCAGCTTGAAGAGATGGGCAGAACTGGAAGATTGTCACAGTTGCAAACTTCAATCATATAGCCATCAGGATCATGGAAAAACACTTGATTCACCTTTATTCCTTCTTCCTCCACAAGTGCAGTTGCGTATCGCATTCCCATTTCCTCCAACCTCCTCTTCACCACCACAACATCACTACTCTGCTAATTCCACACATGTTAGGAAAACAGAACAACTCAAACACCGACTGAACTGAACTCATATTACGTGATATGCGTCTATTTTGAAGAATGAGAGTTAATTTACCTGGAAGGAAATGTGGTTATCCTTGGGATTAATGGGTCGAGGTTCATCGTAATCCTCCATACCTTTGTTCTCAAGCAAGTGAATCCCCACTCCATAGTTGTACAACCTGATGAATGAAATATATTAGAACACGAAGCATACATATATGTTATTTGTAGTAGAGAGACAGAGTGGCTAATTAATTAATTTACCAGGCTCCATGGAAGTTGAAAGAAGAAGGGCGTTTCACAAGGCAAAAACCCAAGACATCTTCATAGAAGCGGACAGAATTCCAGACATTTCTCACTAACAAGGACACATGATTTAGTGAAAGAAGAGGCAGTGCTTCGCAACTGCTCACTTCCTCAATCTCCTCTATCATTTTTCCTTCCTCGATCGATATATTATTATTGATTTTTTTTCTTTCTTTTATCTTGTTATTGACAAGTCTAGCTAGGGAGATTGCCTTATTTATAACTGCATAAACCGGTACGTACGTATTGCTTACAATTGACAATTGAAGATCTGTGAACTTTCCTAGAAAATTCTTATCATTGAAGTGCAAGTATAGGACAACAATGTACCATTAAGGATCGGAGTTGTGTAAAAATGGAAGTAACCTATTTTCATTTTGACACACCAACGCAGTCTACAAGTAAATAGATTTGTGAGGGAGTAGGGTTTTGCTGGTAATTGGGTGTTCCATAATCCAAAGAAACTTCTTCGATGCTTCTGCTTCCTGCCAATTCTTTGTATAGTTTCTTTTACTCGTGAACATACTCCGATTGCGTGAGATTTTTATATCTATAAAAGGCACACAATTCCATCTTCTTTTAAAAAATGTGCTATAATCTTTCTTTTTCACAAGACAGGTAAAATCTGTGTTTACACAACCACCCTACTTTGTAATTTCAAAAGCAGAAGAGAAAGATTTGAGATAATCATCAATTTCTCCAATGTGAATGTTAGGGATGATTACAAAGCGACCAGATCAGAGATCTTCTTCGTCAAATGTATGATACCGCACGATGAAGAGAAATTGAGAATCAATTTAGTGAATAAATGGGTCATACTGTTTGAAAGTATTGGTAGTGTAAGATGAAGACGTTGCAGAGTTAGAACAACGATCGTGTACATGTTAACTTTCGAGTGATCAATCAATGAACGGGGCAATTCTGAAACCAAATCGTTGAATTCACCACCAAGAAAAGAGCCCCAAATCGAACTCCAATTCTCAATCTAGTATCCCATGAATTAATCCATTGTAAAAAATATTATATAGTACGTAACTTTAAAATTAGCTAAATAAAATTTTTATTTTTTAAATTTTTATAGCAAATTAAATTAGATCATTTCTTTTTAAATATAGAGTACAATTTATACTAGAAGAATCCTTGATTACTGTATCATATATTATTATAAGTGGGAAGCTCTAAAGTGTAAAGTTAGATTACCAATTTACCCCTATATAAAATAAATCATATAGCATCTCAATAATTGTTAATTAGATATTAAACTTTAATTATCTCTAAACTTGCTGAATATAAAAAAAAACTGAAAAAATATGAAAAGTCAGTCACATTACATTATTTATCATAGTCAATCATTAACATTATTTTAAGACCTTTCCGAACTAAATCATTGTTTTAAGAAGTCCAAAAAAATTAATTTAGATACATTATCCAATTAAATGTGAAATTTTAAGACATTAAAGAAAATAGAAGATAAAAAGATGTATATCTGTTTTTAAAACCTCTTAATTAGTTTATTAAAACTCTTGGCTCTTCATTTGCCTATATTGAATAAAGATGATTTTTTCAAATTTATAAATACAAATATTGAATAATATGAAACAAGCCTAGGATGAAAGGTTTTTTAGACAATTGATAATCGCAAAATCCATACTTGTATTTGATCTATTCATATTATTTTAATTTTAGATTTCATGATTTATATATATATCACATCTAATTATATTTATGTTTGTCATATTTTCTTTCTCAGCTTTGGGGGCATCAAGATTACCACATCAATTGTGCATTTGTGATATGAGGTTTAAAGTTTCAAAGAGAGTGCAAGTAATTTTATTTTAGTTTCTTCAATATTTTATAGACTTGTTCATTTCTTTAGGTTAGAATATTGATTATTTCAGATTTGCAAATTCTTGATGATTATGAAGTATCTTGGAGTGGTTATGCTATATTAATCTTGATCTTGCTTTGATTTTTGTTAGCTTTACTCAGGTTAAGGATTTCAATTATGGATCTTTCATGCTTCAAGCCAATGACAACTCCTTTAAAGCAAAGTTTTAGGACATATACTTTTATGAACCAAGTTTAACCTAATGTGGATACCAAGGTCGCACCAATAGTTATAGGACTGACAAGGGCTATTGGGCCTAGAACAAGCAATAGGACCAGGTTAATTTGGGATACGGGTCGAGTAGTGGATGTGAGAATGATTCCATCAAAAGGTGCAACGATCACTGATTTAGGGATTATACATATTGAAGAAAATATTTTTCGTCTCCTCTTCTTCTAGAATCTAAAGTTTCTCATCTCCTGTTCTTCTTTTATCTTTAATTATTTGTTATTTCAATATTTCCATTATAATTTGGTAGTTTGATTATTGCAATCAAAATCTTAAGGTTGTAATCGTATTCCACTGTTCTTATCAATATAGTGAAAATTTCGATTTGTTAGATATACAATAGATTTTACATAATTTGAGTTTGAATAAAACTTGTCTCAGCTTCTCCTTATATATTATGATTCAATTTGAGTTTCTCCAATACTATGTGAATTTGTTACAATATAATCTTGTACATTTATGATCTTGAAGTAGGTGTTTATTTTTTACCTTTAGTATCTCCTCCCCTAGTAATGTTTTTATATAAAACACAATCAATAAGATATGATACAAATCTAGAGACAGTTGAACAAAGTCAATATGATTATTATATAGTTTCCTTCATAAAATAAAGTTTGATCTATATATAGATTTTTGTATTCATTTCATATTTTGCTAATTGAATTTATATTTTCTTTTTTCAATTTTTGGCGTGTATCTCACTACAAGTTTTAACAATATTTATATGGTTTAAGTTTAAACTAATTGACAGAGATTATATTTAATTACCTAGTGAATTATCATTATTAATATTCATAAGTCATAACCTTCATGCTTTTCTATTTGATTTATACTTTTGTTTGACTTGATGGAAAAGACTTTTGAATTTTGATTGGACATGAGAGAATGTGACAAAAACTCGGTAAATTATGTATTGATTTTGTATTCTTTTTCCATATATTTATTGTTATGATTAAAGTCTTAAAGAACAATGTGTATGCTGATTTTTTCTTTCATATTTAGTTTTTTTATGTTTACTCTCTATTAGTCTTATTTAATTTAGTTTTCTACAAAAAAAATATTGTCATAGTATTTATTTGAGATTGTCACATTTTAGTACTCATTACACACATATTTTCGTCGAATCTAACCAATTTATAAAATATTAAATGGAACACACGTGCTTCACACGTGTCCATAAACTAGTTAGTATATATGGATCAAGGTGGAACACGTAAGTGCACGGTCGTGTGGGGTGCACCTACTACAACTTGAACAAACTATTTAAGAAAATTCCCATTTTAACCTTGGACTTTTTGCTTAAATTTAAAATGTTACTGATCATCATTGCACCCAAAATTAACAGTTAATCACAGAGGATAAGAATTAATAGTTGTGTTTTTTTTTCCCTCCCTTCTTTATATAAAAAAAACATTGTTAACAAAGAACGGAAAAGATTTACGTAACGTGTATTATTTGTTATACTGTTGTGACTAAATATCTGCACACACATTTTTATTGATTAAAAAAATATTTATTTAACATTACATTTTAATAATAACAAAATTATTTGCTAATCTTTGTCGTACTAAGTCAACATAATTTTTTATAGTTTCAAAGTATTCGTGTTTAAATGTAAAGTTAAATAAAATAATTAATTTAAATTTGTACTAATGAATCCGTTAAGGCAAGGTATGATTTTGGAAGTTCTAATAATCCTCAAGAGGAAACTTAACTGAATTTGATGTAGTGATATATTAATGTTAAATTGCATAAATAAAATACATGTCAAATATTTATTAATTTGGTATATTAGAGAGTGAATTATGCTAATGCTATTTTAATTCAATTGCGTGTTGTTTATTATTTCTATTATTTTCTGCCCATGCTTAATTTTTATTAAATAAAAAATAAATATTTAAAAATTATATGAAAGAATAATAAATCAAAATTTTTCTATATTAATACGATAAAAATACATAATTAATATTAATTAAATTTTTTTATAATTTGATATTTTAAATTAAATTTTGACAAATAAAAATAGACGGAGAGCATATTGGAAACAAGAAATAAGCCGCATTTAAAATTACACGTATATCATATGGTTTGGTCTTTATCACCGACAAATACAATCTGTGAAAATGCTTATCGGCGATGCTCTTCACCTCCCGTCGACGTTAGCCCCTGCAAACAGCGACACCATTAGTTTTCCCTATTCGCCATGTCAAGGTATACACCCTTTTCTTGTTCATTTCGCACATTTTGCCTGTTTACTCTACTTGTTACTTAGCTCTATGTTTTTATTATAGTAGTAAATTAAGTTGGCTCTAAAATAAGTCGCAAGGTTTCTGTTGGGCTTCTGGAAGTTTCTTGAACAAGCTTTTTTAACTGCTCTGAGTAAAACTCAATGTTTCATACTTTCTGTATTTATAGGGGGCCATGGGTCTGTTGGTAGGATTGGGGTACTTTTTGCACCAGGGCGTTTTAGTACTGCGCAGGATAACGAACATTCAGATTTTATTGTGTAGTCATTCCCATTAGTATTATTGTTCTTGAAACAGTATTTTAGTTGCACTTACCGAAACAGGCAACTATTTTTAGAGTGAATAGATACTGATTTTATATTTTGTATCTGCTAAGTTGTGTTGTGCTTGGAATGCAGAATCTTTTCAGTTGGTAAAACTAAAGGACTTGGACAATCCTTGTGCCGAAACCCGACTACTATTCGCTCAGAACAAGCGAGAAAATTAGAACTTATTGGGGATGGTGTATGTTCTCTTAGATGTAGATTTTATGGGCAATATGTATCTACTAGGGGATATGATTCATCTGTAGCACGTAGAATGCGTAATACTTTCTATAAGAGCTATTCATTGACTTCACCGGGGACAACTGTAAGAAATCATGCAGAAGTTGCTTGGAAGAAGTTATCACGTATATATTTCGATGAGGGGCAAACTTTTAATCAATTAAGTCGATTTGCACAAGCACTTAGCTTAGCACTGAGCAGATCTTATGTGATTCTCCCTAGTTTTCTTGCCTTAGCGTATGGAAGAAATATAGCACTGGCACAAGCATCACCAGACTTGGAGTATGGCCTCCCAATGACTAGCTTCTACAGGCATGCTGAAAATGGACATTTTTTGGTGACCTCAGTGCTGCATTTCATATTTGAAGGTTTTGTTCTGCTGTTGAGAGCCTTTTATTTGGGGATACTCTTTTCTCCTAGCATTGTAATGGCCCCATTTGCTGATGCATTTGGGCCTTCTTTCAGGAAACTGTGGCTTCAGGTAGTCCGTAGCACACTCGAAAGAGCAGGTCCTGCATTTATCAAATGGGGCCAGTGGGCAGCTACACGGCCTGATCTTTTCTCTAAAGATTTGTGTACTGAGCTATCAAAGCTTCACACCAAAGCTCCTCAACATAGCTTCGCTTACACGAAAAAGACAATCAAAAAAGCATTTGGTCGAGAGATTTCTGAAATATTTGATGAGTTTGAGGAGAAACCTCTGGCATCTGGAAGTATTGCTCAAGTGCATAGGGCTTCCTTATTGTATCCATACCATGGTCGAAAGATCAAGCCTATAGTGGTGGCTGTGAAAGTTAGGCATCCTGGAGTAGGTGAATCAATAAGACGAGATTTTGAGATTATTAATCTAGTCGCTAAGATATCAAAGTGCATTCCTAAACTTAAGTGGTTAAGGTTGGATGAAAGCGTCCAGCAATTTGCTGTTTTTATGATGTCTCAGGTTGATCTTGCTAGGGAGGCTGCACATTTAAGCCGCTTCATCTATAATTTCCGCAGATGGAAGGATGTCTCTTTTCCAAAGCCTGTCTATCCCCTAGTGCATCCTGCTGTATTGGTGGAGACTTTTGAACAAGGGGAATGTGTTTCATATTATGTTGATGAGCTTGAAGGCCATGAAAGACTTAAAAGTGCACTTGCTCATATTGGGACACATGCTCTACTAAAGATGCTTTTGGTAATATTCTCTTTACTTAGTGTGTGTGTTTGTGTTGTGTGTATAGATAAAGTTAATGTCCTCTTTGTGTTAATTTGTCTGAATTGTGTATAAAGCACCACATTTAATGTAATGTGAAATTCAGGATATACATTTATGAAGTTGTACTTCTACAAATGCTTTTGGTATTATTATTTTTATATATGTTTGTGTGTGGGGATAAATTTTCATTAAGAATATGTTTTTTTATATTAATTTGTCTAAAATTTAAGTATAATATTGATGCAAGTGTGACTTGAAATATACTATCAATGGAATAAAAAGGTCTAGTGCAATACAAAACTGACACTATATTAGATGTTGTTGTTCCCTCTCAAGCTATAAAAGCAAATGTGTTGGTGCAAGATTTGAACAAAAATGTGGAGTATGTCTTCCAAGAAAAGCTTTAGTTATGCCTAACGTTGTTTGGCCAATATTGGGCTACATGGAAGTTCTTATTTCTTCTTTTGGTTAGTATTTTAGTATGAATTTGTTTTTCTGTAATTGCTTATTAGTCCTTACTTCCTTAAAGGAAACTGTTAAATGCTGTATTTTTTTTCTTTTCCCTGGTTAACACTTAAAACATAGTCTTGGATGTACTATAGATTTGTTGCTTTACTGGGTAATTGGTGATATATTGGCCTTGAATACTGTCCAGAAACTGTATTCTTATAGAAGTTAAAACAGTGAGTAGTGATAATACTAAAATATTCAAATGCATTATTTTGGCATTATCAACACTTCTTTATGACTGTTCTTTTACTGCTATTGTTCGTAGTGTTATAACTATAAAGAAGGCAGGAAAAGAAGCCTTCTATGACATTTGCTTGGATGCTTTCTTTCTTTTTATTTTGTCTGTTAAAATAATGTCTAGAACTTGTGATGTTGATGAAGAGGGTAACATCACTATTTTTTACTTGCTCTTTAGTCTCTCTCTTACTTCTCATATAATAACCCGTTTCCCATTTCAGGTGGATAACTTTATTCATGCTGACATGCATCCTGGAAATATCCTTGTTCGGGTAACCCAAAGCAAGTCATCTCGGAAACGAATCTTCAAATCAAAGCCTCATGTTGTTTTCCTTGATGTAGGCATGACCGCTGAACTTACTAACAATGATCGGATAATATTATTGGAGTTCTTTAAGGCAATTGCTCGTCGAGATGGTCAAACTGTAGCAGAGTGCACTCTGCAATTGTCAAAGAAACAGAATTGCCCTAATCCAGAAGCCTTCATTAAGGTTTATTTCCATGCATCTTAAATGGATTGTTTCAGAACTTCCTTTGGCTGTTCTTATTTATCTTCTCCAATAGAGCTTACATTTATGATCCCTTGAATTTCTTTTCACTATATTTTA